GCATACAGGTCTGGTCTCTTTTTTTTTTTTTTTCTTTAAAAAATGGTTCCAGTGTCTCTTCTGCATAGTCACAAACTTGTGTTAGCATTTTGAAAACTGCTTGTGTTTGAGTGACTCTGAGCATGAGTTCAGATGGGAGTTGCAGTTGTGACCCGTATGCAGTCTTCTAGGCCACCTGAACACAAGTTCTTCAGGCATATCTGTTCTTTTAAAAAAGGATGTATTTAACAAATGAGGATTCATGTGACTATGTATCCCAAGGATTGAACTAGCTTTGATATCTTCCGGGGAGGAGATTCAAAGAGCTATGGGACTAGAGGAGCAGCTGCTCATCTCAAATGAAAGGTTTGAATTTCTCAGGCTTTTTGTGTCTGATTTCATGTCTATTGAAAGCAACATCCTTCTGTTACTCTGAAGGCGTGATGTCATGTTCAGAGAGGGTATGAGACTTTCCTGCCATATGTAAGAGTTCCCCATCAAGTAAGGGAGTTGAGTTTTTCCCTAAGTAGAGGCTAACTAAAGGATCCCACAGATACCTGAGTCTCAGCAAGACAGCGAAAGAAACTAACCCTGTAGAAGTTCCAGTCCATGGCATGTTGAATTTTTTTACACTTATGTGCAGTTTGATAAGCTTTATGCTTATCAAACATTACCCTGCAGAGAGCTGTTCAGAAGGCGTGGGCAAAGTCATCTAGCCTCTGGCTGCCCTGGAAGCCTTTACGTTTCTTTTTGGCAGAGCCATTAGTTTGTAACTTGTACTGTGTTAGTGCCTGATAACTGTAATGCCATGTTTAAAGGCATTTGAGGGATTTTGTTGTTCCTTTTAAAAAAAATTAAAAAATACTGTGGCAAAGTATGCCTGGAGTAATTGTTGGTGAAAACAAATTCAGGTATCTCATTTCAGTTGAGATCAGTCTTGAAAGCACTTGTGCTTTTGATTTGAAGCACCTTGGTACCAATATGTAATTGTTAGTATTACGTACTTGTGAGAGAGTATGTTCAGATATTCAAGGGGTTTTATACCTGTTTGAGGTTAAATGACTTGCAGTAGGATTCTGCATTGTGTATCGCAGGGTTTTTCTGATCTTTAATAAAAGTACTTTTGGTTCTATATGGTTTTGTTTCTAAAGTGGAGTGGGCACATAATAAGCAGTGAATATGTGCATTTGTAATAAATTTCAATCAACGAAAAAACAAAGCTTCTAGCCCTTTATTTCTGCTGTGCAGGTGAAACTTAAAACTGATGTCTACAATTAAAATGATGTTGGACATCTTTTTATTTTTTTTCCTTCAGAATCATCAGGGTCCCTTCCAACCTCACCCATTCTGTGATTTTCTGTGAAACACCCAAAAGCTTTTAATGTGATGTAAAGAAATGTTGATTCTGTTTCTGTTGGTACTTGAAGAAAATGAGACCTGAAACTGAATCTGACCAAGGAGTTTCATTCCAGTGTTTACAGGGATGCTTTGAAGAGCAGTGAATTGCAATGTATAAATACTACAAGGAACTTTACTGGCTAATGCATTTTCCTTTTTTTTTTCCTCCCACTTGCAAGTAAGTAATTTGTTCTGCAGAAAGAACATTTTATTATTGCTTGTAGTCAAGATAGCATTATTCAAACCAAATTTAGTAATACCTCAGAACCTAAACTTGAGGGCAAACTTGACGTGAGGTTTTGTATAAATAGAGTTGGTTTAGGATCATTCTGATAGTTTTGTTAAGTTCTGGAGAAACAAATGGCATTTCAGAATAAGACGTTAATTTGAACTGTGTGATTCTCAAGTAGAAAGAACATTCCCAAATCTATCTGTAACTAGTTGTTCTTTACAGAATTACTAATGACCACAGGTTTTTGTCTCTAGAAAAATTAAAGTGAAACACTTAAAATTATTATAATAATCCCAGAATCACAGAATGGATGAGGTTGGAAGGGACCTCTGGAGACTGTCCAAGTCCAGCCCTCCTGTTTAAAACAGGGTCGGCTAGAGCTGGATGCTAAGGACTGTATCCAGTCAGACTTTGAGCATCTGCACAGATGGTGACACCACAAGCACTCACAGGTCAACCTGTTCGAGTGTTCAGTCACCCTTAGAGTAAAAAAGAGGGTTCTTTTTCTTTTTTCTTCCATTCAAAAGGAATTTCCTGTATTTCAGTTTGTGCCCATTGCTTCTCATCCTGTCACTGGGCACCACTGAGAAGAGTCTGGCTCAGTCTTTGCTCCTCCCCATCAGTTATTCATAAACACTGATAAGATTCCCCCTGATCCTTCTCTTGCAGGCTGCATGGTCCCAGCTCTCCCAGTCTCTCCTTGTATGAGAGATGCTCCAGTCCCTGTGTCATCTCCATTGTCCTTTGGTAGACTCACCTTAGAATGTCCACATCTCTCCTGTACTGGGGAGGGGAGAGCAGGACGCAGCACACTGGATATGCTCTCACCAGTCATCTCCCTTGACCTGCCAGTGGCACCCAGTTCCTAAGTCCAGGAGGCTGCTGGCCTTCTTTGCCAGAATAATAGTTCTAATTAAATAAAATCTTCTGAAAGTGAAGAAGTAAAATTGCAGTAAAACATTGCAGTAAAACTCCCCTTCTAATGGCATTGAAATTTTTTGCCTGTGGTACTTGGTACCGCCAGTCAGGAGCAACTGCCTCCTAAAGTGAATAGGTCAGGTTGGACAAAATGTGGTCATGCATGGGAGGGTATGTGAGAAGTCCATTGTCTCTCAGTTCACAATTGTGATTCCATAATGATGGCTGGTTTGTTTGTTCAGACCGGTTGGCCTTGTTACTGGATTAATGTTCAAGATTAATCCATTTGAGACATTAAAAGATGGTAACAGGCACTGGCAGCACTGTCATCTCTGCCTTCCATAACAAATAGTGCTAGCTGAAACACTCTGTTACTGCTGAAGGATGCAGTTTCAGTTTGGAGCCTTCAGAATAATGACGAGCGTACAGAGCTCTTAATTTACTTTAAAAGAGTAACAGTCGTAGCTGGGGTTCTTTGCAGAGACAGGATTTGTGTTTAATCACTATAAACATTGTAAATGGTTTACGACTTTTTTTCCATTTTATTTGAAAACAACTGAGTTAGTGCAAATAATTCTCTTACAACTTAACCAGGAAGCTGTTTCTTACGACAACTCAAACTTCCATATAAGTTTGGAGCAGACATAGTCAAAGCTATTGTTTGGCATCTGATAAACCAAGAGCAGCTCTTGCGATTGGATTTTTCAGTAAAATAAAGTCAGTCACCAGGAATTTTGGACTTGCGCAGTTTGATTTTTCAGTGCGAGGGTACTTGACAGTAGCGTGCAAAGCTCACTGTAGGATCTTGGTTTGCAGCCTTCAGCTTGGTAACCTGTGGGGTTACTCAGGACAGTGTCAGGTAACTGTGACCTATTTATTTGCTACTATTGAATGGGGCACAAAGATAAGTGTTTTTGTGGTGAGAAGAAAACACACGGATCTCTTAATGATTACAATTTGAGATTTTATTGCAGGTAACTATACGGTGCCATTTACTCCTCCTTTTCTTCTCCATGTGTGATGGTGTAGCATCACGGCTTGTAGTCCAAGTTTCCTGCTGCATCAGTAGCGGAAGACCAGAACACCTGCTCTATCTGTGTATCATCAAAAGAAATGAAGGGCAGTAGCGATTTTTCCTCAGAGCTTTAGTGCCTTCTGTTTAAACATCCAGCATGGGGATGTCATTCAATTAATTGCTCAAAATCATTAAAAATTTAAGCCTTTTGTTGCTTTGACTAAATCAAACTCAATCAGTAACTCCGTAAAGCACTTCTGCAAAGCAAAAGCTCAAAAAATGAGTTAGTGCTAATTCATAAAGGCACGGGCTAAACAGCAGAATCTGCTGTTACTGACATAGGCCTGTTGAATTGATTTTTTTAGAAAGATGTAAAACATGCTTCTTTCTTCTCACCCTGTCTTAGGCTTTTGGAACTTCTAACATATGGGACTTACTTCCTTTTTTAAAAATAATTTCTATTCAGCACCCACATTCATGTGAGTGACAAAACCAAGTCAGCACTGAATTTGTTAGCCTGGGTCATCAGGAGGTGTTTCAGGCTGGTGGTACACAGAAAAGGCTAGTTAGATGGCTGATTAAAGTTAGCTGCATTTTAAAGTAAGTGATGCAGTAATTCAAGACCATCACAGTTTGCAACTTTTTTCTTTGCAGTAGTAAGCTGAAAAACAATTCTGGCTAATACAGGATCTAACTTGAATTGTTTGCTTTTAAAACTGGTATACTAGCATCTGGAGAAATCCCAGGCTGGGTTCTAGTTCTGCAAGTGCCAGTCTCTAAGTTAGTGTGTGTTCTCTTTGCAGATCAGCATAAAGACTCCTGATACTGTACTACTGATGCTTCGTGTTTGGGAGGTTTATAACATTTCATTAAAATCATCCACTGTCGGGTATTTAAGGATTTTAAAACGTTCATCTGGACACGTACTGGACAAAAGTGGCTGAATAGGCAATCACTGTGCCACTAGCAGCTTGGCTGGTTTGTTACTGACTTGGCATTGAGCCTTGTGGTGATTTACCACAGCATTAACAACCGCTACTGTTGTTTAGTAATTCACCACAAGGCTCAATGCCACAGCATTAACAACCGCTACTGTTGTTTGGAACTAAAGCGATACCCACCCAGCAGTGACCTCTCATTTGTAATGCTCCAAGTGTCTGTCAGAGTTCTTGCTACTGGAAGTAAATAAAGACAGAAACGTAAAAAAAAAAGAGATAGGTTACATACATTCCATCCATGAAAGAACTTTCAGGTCCTACTGACATAGGACATAAAACAATAATTAAAAAAACTTCATGATACTACAAATGAATGGAATCTTTCACCAGGCTCCCTAAAAAGAAGAATTTCAGACCTCTTTTAGTGAAAGAATTTCAATTACCTGTGGCTTGCTTAGCAGAAAATAGCACAGGCAGTAATCTTCCAGGGGGTTTAATAATGACATCCTTACCCTTTCACTGTGTATGTTTAACTTTACGCAAGAATTGGAAAATGATGGCACTGATGCGCAGTCAGCTAAGATTCAGATTCCTTAATTTTATGACTATGAAACATAATTCAGAGTTCTTAGCTGCCCGGCACATAACAACACGATTTTGTCAAGGTTCGAGAACCAAACACGGAAGTACACTTCGCAGTCTTTCCTAATGTGCCCTTTGCCCTCTGGATCAAACATGTCAAACGCAGCTAGCGCAGCTTCTCTGGGGTCAGTGCCTGCTGACGGCAGTGTGCCTGTCTGCCCGGCACAAGTGGTGCTGCGCCCACCCGGGCCCGAAGCCTGCCATTCCCCGCGTCAGGGGCTGATGTGTCTCCCCACTCCTCGCAGCCCTCTATCCCCATTGTGGCACAGCGGGATGGCGACATAAAGGCTCCCAATGTCACTTCCATCAGCTGCGGGCCATTTCTCAGAGGAAAAGCCAAGCCCGCTCCTTCCCGGTGGCTGAGGGACGGGCTGCGGGGACGGCTCTTCCGTTTTCTGCCACGGAGGAATGGGCATGGTCCATTTTGTGACGTGATGGCTCCTCACTCCTGGATGACATGCGACCATGTCACTGAAAATCTGGCACTGGATGGTCAAAATAGGCTTGCCAATGTGACGTCCATCTACAAGAAGGGCCAGAAGGAGGATCTGGGGAACTACAGGCCTGTCAGCCTGACCTCGGTGCCAGGGAAGATTATGGATCTGTTCATCTTGAGGGCGCTCACAAGGCATGAGCGGGACAACCAGGGGATCAGGCCCAGCCAACACGGATTCGTGAGAGGCAGGTCCTGCTTGACCAACCTGATCTCCTTCTATGACCAGGTGACCCACCTAGTGGAGGAGGGAGAGGCTGTGGATGTGGTCTACCTGGACTTCAGTAAGGC